AGAAACTCTTACACACGCTGCTGGGAACGCAAAATGGTGCAGTCCCTTTAGGAGACAGTTTGGCAGTCTCTTACAAAACCAAACTTATTCTTCCCATACAATCCAGCAATCACACGCCTTGATACCCAAAGGAGCCGAAAACTAACTATCCATACAAAAACCTGCACGTGGACATTTATAGCAGCTTTATTCACAATCGTCAAAACTTGGAAGCAACCAAGATGCCCTTTGGTAGGCGAATGGATAAATAAACTGTGGTATATACAAATAATGGAATATTATTCAACCCTAGAAAGGCATGTGCTATCAATCCATGCAAAGACAGGGAGGAAACTTATGCATATTACTGAGCAAAAGAAGCCAATTTGAAACGGCTACATACTATATGAGTCCAACTGTATGAAATTCTGGAAAAGGCAAAACCTTATGAAGACAGTAAAAAAAAAAAAAAAAAAATCCGTGGTTTCCAGAAATTGGGGAAGAGGGAAGGGATAAATAGATGGAACACGAAGGATTTTTAAGGCAGTAAAAATACTCTGTAAGACACTATAGTGACGGATATGTATTATTATACATTTTTCCAGCCCATTGAATGTATCACACCAAGATTACACTCTAAGGTATTAATCAAAATAAACTATGGACTTTGGGTGATTAAGATGTGTCAGTGTAGGTTCATCAGTTATAACAATGTACACTCTGGAAGAGGATGTGGATAATGGGAGAAAACTATACATGTGTAAGGGCAAGGACATAAGCTAAATCTCTACCTAACTTCTTCTCAATTTGTCTGTGAATCTAAAATTCCTCTAAAAAATTGTCTTATAAGAAAACACTAGGAAGCGGAAAGAAAGAACTAGCTTAGCACCTGAAAGAAAGGGTCTTTTCACCAGCCTAGGTAGGGAAGCTTGACCTTAAAAGCCTACTATAAATAATTTTGGGTGAAAGGGATGTTTAATGTCACCTGAGAAAATCACGTCCTGAATTTGGGTGAGTCACCATGATCAAGCCATCAACTTAGTAACGACAGCAACCTCAACAGGGACTTCCTTCGTGGTCCACTGGGTAAGACTCTGCACTCCCAATGAAGGGGGCCTGGGTTTGATTACTGGTAGGAGAACGAGACCTCACATGCCACAGCTAAAGATCCCACATGCCACCAGGAAGATGGAAGATCCCGTGGCCGCAAAGAAAATCCCTCAAGTCTCAGCTAAGACCCAGAGCGGTCCAAATAAATAATAAATATACCCCATGGACAGAGGATCCTGGCAGGCTACAGTCCATGGGGTCACAAAGAGTTGGACACAACTGAGCGACTAAGCACAATTATTTATTAGAATGTGTTGATTTTAAAAAAAGAAAGAAACAACCTTAGCAATAATAATTAAAATATCTGAGCACCTATGATGGGCAGCCACTGTTTCAGGCAAGTTAAATGCATTAAACTCATTTAGTCCTCAAAAATTCTATGAAGTAAGACATCCTTAGGGGCTCCATTTTGCAGAGAAGGAAACTGAACACAGAGAAGCTAAGTAATTCCCAAAGTCACTCTCCTAAGAATTGGAGGAGGCAGGGTCCACTTGGCTGCAGGATTCCAGTCCATCCTAAAGGAGATCAGTCCTGGGTGTTCATTGGAAGGACTGATGCTGAAGCTGAAACTCCAGTACTTTGGCCACCTGATATGAAGAGTTGACTCATTGGAAAAGACCCTGATGCTGGGAGGAGAAGGGGACGATGGAGGATGAGATGGCTGGATGGCATCACCAACTTGATAGACACGGGTTTGAGTAAGCTCTGGGAGTTGGTGATGGACAGGGAGGCCTGCCTTGCTGCGATTCATGGGGTCACAAAGAGTCGGATATGACTGAGCCACTGAATTGAACTGAACTGAACAAGAACTAACAGTAGTTTAGTGGGCATGAACCTTACCAGCTTTATCGCATGTAATCCTTGCAACAGATGTATCATTACCCTATTCCATATATAGGAAAACTGATCATTGAAGAAGTGATGACTTGCCCAAGGGCACTTGCCAAGAAAGATAAATGACAAAGCCAGTTGCCAAAACCTTGTTGACGGACACTAGTGTCCACACTGGCAGAATTCCCCCACACCGGCAGAATTCCCCCACACCATGCTACCTGTCTGTTGAAAGCAATTCATGGTGTTCAGGTACCCTATGGGGTGCCTGATAACTAGAGAGAAGTCTGCCCCACGGCATGACCTCCTTCCTAAAGACTATGCATGAAAGAAAGGCTGTATGGTGTAGCAGAATGAGCACAGACCCTAAAATCAGAAAGACCTGGGTTGAAATTCCAACTCCAGCAATTACTATGTGCCATCGAATACAGCTCACTGAGTCTGCTCCCTGATATGTACAAATGGGATAAAAATTCCTATAAGCACCATGAAGCTAACATGAGACAACGCATGGAGAAGCCAGCCTGATGAGACTCTCCAGTCACGTACCCCGCTGGATCCATTAAGGGGGCCCCAAAAGTGCATTTGGGAGTCCATCTCTGTCAGGGGTCTGCCTGCCCCTCTTGGGCTGAGTCATAGCATCTTCATCATAAACACTGAAAGCAAAACTTCACAAACGTGGGTCCTCCAGATTGGGACTGTGTTTCTTCAATTCCCAGCATTTACCCTGGGAACTGGCTGTTAATGAGGTTTTCGGGTACCAGGCTAGTGGAGAGACCAAGAGGGCATGAAATCATTACCGACACACCAATTCGGACTAATAGGAATCTAGGGTTTCAGTTGAGAATATCACAAAACAAAATAATGGTCTTGGAAATGTTTAGATCAACAGGCAACCGTTTCGTTTGGTCAGGGGGTTGGGATTCATTTTGTTTTTGCCCTTTTAAAAAAGTCTATTGAAACTTGAAGAGACAGCAGAATTTTGCTGATAAAAATAATAATAATTTTTTATTATTTTAAAATAATTAAAAAAAAAAACTCTGGGTGACATCTTGCTTCTTGAGTCATTTCTTTTGTTTGTATGTACTTGGTCTCTTTTGGTTCCCTGATAGCCATACCTCACAGAGATCTCATAATTTTAAAGGTCCCTTTAACTTTAATTAAACAGGAGTAAATAAAAAACATGGGTGTGTGTGGTTTATTTCATTTAGTGTAACTCGTTTCATCCATGTTGTAGCTTGTGTTAGAATTTACTTCTTTAAGGTTGATTTTTTTTTTACATTTATATTCATTAGGGATATTGGCCTGTATGCTTCTTTTTTAAATATTTTATTTAAGTATAGCTGATTTATAATGTTGTGTAAATTTCTTCTATTCAGCAAAGTGATTCAAATATATAGGTCTCTCTATATATAGATAGGTATTTTTTCATATTATTTTCCATTATAGCTTATCACAGAATATTGAATATAGTTCCCTGTTTGACCTTACTGTGTATCCATCCTATATATAACAGCTTGCCTCTACTAATCCCAGACTCCTATTCCTTCCCTCCCCTACCCCCACTTCCCTTTGGCAACCACAAATCTATTTACTACATCTGTGAGTCTATAAAACAGTTTTTAAAAGCCTCCAAGGACAGTTCTTTATGCAGATATTTTCTCCATTTTATATCCTAGTCCTATTTATTGTGGCTGTAAATCAGGGGCCAATGAACTAAACCCCATGGGCTACATTCAGCCTACTACATTTTTTCTAAATAAAGTTTTATTGGAACACAGTTGTGCCCACTTGTTTGCATATTGTCTATGGCTTCTTTTGCGCCAGAGGCAGAGTTGAGTAGTGGCCACAGAGACCATCTAGACCTGTAGAGAAAATGTTTGTCAATCCCTGCTCTAAAGCAGGCAGTGGGGCCAGAATGGCACAAAATGTTTGAAAGCATGCATCCCTACCATAATCAAATAATTCTCTGTTAATGCCTATTTGTCCTACTTTATATAAGTTCTTTGAGAGGCAAGGACACCTACCTTGTTCAATATTTTTCCTTCAGGGCTGGAGCAGAAAGACTAAAACATGGCACACAAACAAGAAATATCTCTTGAAGGAATGAACTGGATGGATTTTGAGTTCTTCAGGGTCATAACTATTAAAGTGTCTCGGTCTTGAGTAAGAACCTGACTCACGGTAAGCTCTCTGAAACTGTACATTTGCTAAAGAATCAATTGTATGGACTGTGAATTTAGAGAATGAATATGTTTTGTAGGACATTTAATGTCCAAGACAAGCCCTGTCTATATTTTGATGAATCTCTTCTATGCCACACTATTTAAGCCCACACTCTCTCTAACTTCACAAAATTCTCCGTGCCTCAAGCCCTGATAACTGAAGTCTGGCTCTGATGGTGCTAGTCTCATCAAGGATTTGCCAAGCTCCCATCCTCCATCCCACGGACTCCATCTGTGCTTCCCAGTGTGGCTCCCAACAGCCTGCGGGGGTCTGCGGGTGGCTCAGCCCAGCATTTATCGCCAAGACACACGGGCATTCAGCCCACTGACACTTATATACAAGAGAAACCAGGAGCGGATGCTAATGGATTCTGGAAAGTCATAGAGAGGAGGACTGAGTGGAAGAAACACACACACACACACAAAACAAATTTGTTATTTGGATATGAAAGATGATTTAATATGAAGAAGAGAGAAATCAGGCTCTTGGGGAGGAGGAAAAAGAAGCATAACCTTTAAAATTTGTGAATCCCTATTTGTATGACTGTAACTTATATAATACTGTACATCAGCCATACTTCCATTTTTTTAAAAAAAGACTTGGAAAAAAGAACTAAAGTCTTGAGAGTCAGACAGTTCTCAGTAGGAACCTAAGCTCCAGTATCTATCAGCTTTGTAAACCTGTGCCTATTAAATTCTCTGAGATAATAATGGATGTAAAATGATAGTGCTGCAAGGACATTATGGTAGATTTAAGACACCTAAGAGTGACAGGTGCTGTATAAATTATACTGCTCTTTCCCACTTCAGATTTTCACGCCACAAAGAGAATGAGCTCTGAAAATTTCTACTTACCAAGCATTCCTTTCTTGGAACTAGAGAGACACATGTCCTTCTCGGCACTGGGCAGGGCAAAACTCACCACGAACACTTCCACCCCATCAGCCATCAGGGCCAAACCCAAAACAAAAAAGAGGGTCCACTGGAAGCGTCCATGGCCACACTCATCAATGATGGTCTCGTACTGGTGCGCCAGCTGCTCCTCGTCTTCCATCCGCTCGGCCAGCAGGTCTGCCTGGCCCCGAAGACCATCTGCCCTGGAGGGCGCCTTCTTGGCCTGCTTGGCCTTGACGTCATCTGGGTGAGGGATGCCCTGGTACTCGCCTTCGTAGATCTCGTCTTCTTCATCGTGGCCTTCCGTAACATCGCTCTGGGCATCCTCTTCTGGATTGGACTCATTGCCACGATAGTAGCCATCAGTGGGGGCATAGCCCTCATAGTTGTCCTGATATTTGTAGTCATCCATTCCTCGGTTCTGGGACTGCCTGCTTGCCTCTTGAGCTATATTCCTTTCACTGTGATAGAGGTTTGGGCTGTTTCAATAACCATCATCCATGCTAGGGATAGAGGTTTAAATGTAGACTTCTTGGGTGAACGTGACACCCTTTGTCTTTTGCATTCAGGGGCTATTGGAAGCCTTTGGAAAGTTTCAGAGTCTGGCCTGGTCTCCTTCAGCAATCCAAAGGTGGAGTGTTGAACGTTGATTAGAAATGGGTCCAGCTGTTCTCCTTGACAAGGAGCCCACGGGACTTGGCAGCTTGCTGACTGGCCTGATTTGTTCTGCTACTGCAGGTTATGCTCTGGAGTGAAAGAAAGAAAAGACTGTTATGAAATGTAGAAATTCTGGCAAATTACTCTCAGAATTGAACAAATATATTTATTAGTGCCAAGGCTTCACGTGTAAGGTGGAGGACAACTGGTTTAGACATCAGATTCACATCAAATGAATGAGCCTCAAACCAGTGAGAAAGATCACTGGTCAGAGAGCCCTTGGAAGCATTGATTAACCCATGAAAGGAGTCAAGTCTTATATTAATACAAGAATGAAATGTAAAGTGGGCAAGAGGTTTTTCAATACAAGACGATTTTGTGTTATGGATTTTCTGTTAGAATTAATCAAGCTTCTGGCAACAGGGCAGGTTTATTACAGCTCAGCTTCTGTTATGAGAAGACCAGTTTTTCTAACTGTCAAGAAGTGTTTGTGCAATTTTATACCTAGAAATGTATGGCTAAGAAATATCTAGGACCATTTTTCCCATGGCTCAGCTCACTTTTGATACTCAGCATTGTGGTTCCAGGGCTTCTCTGATGTCATTGCTCTTGCCTTAAATAGGTAAGAACAGTGCTGAAGACCTAGAGTCAGAGAGCTTGTGTCTGAAATTCGATCCTGCTGTGTAGTGGCTGTGTGATCATGCACATGTTTCTGAGCCTCGATTTTCTCATCTGTAAACTGGAGATAATCAATAGTACTTAACTCATGAGGTTGTGCTTAAAGTGCTCAGGATAGTGTCAGACTTGCTTGGTAAGCACTCTTTAAGCCTTTTAAAAACTTTTTATTTTACACTGGAGTATAGCCGATTAACAATATTATAGTTTCAGGTGGACAGGAGAGAGACTCATCCATATACACAAATGCATCCATTCTCCCCCAAACTCCCCTTCCGTCCAGGCTGCCACATAACATTGAGCAGGTTTCCCTGTGCTAGACAGTAGGACTTTGTTGGTTATCCATTTCTAATAGATCAACACTGCTTAAACCTTGATGTTATTTGGCTTTTTCCTCCCTAGCTCCAGTTCTGGGAACCAGGACCCAGGATTGTCAGACCCAAGACCTTACCTTGTTTCCCAATTCCAATCACTGGGTCCATCTGTTGATTTCCATGGCCAGCAGTGAAATATTATTGCTTGCATGTACGCATGCTCCATCACTCAATTATGCCTGACTCTTTGCAACCCCATGGACTGTAGCCTGCCAGGCTCCTCTACCCATGGAATTCTCAAGACAATACTGGAGTGGGTACCATTCCCTTCTCCAGGGTATCTTCTCAACCCAGGGATGAAACCAGGTCTCCCACGGTGCAGGCAGATTCTTTACCATTTGAGCCACCAGGGAAGCCCAGCAGACCCTGTCCTAATCACCTCCCTATAACCCCAGTGCTCACTAAGTCTGGAACCACCATTTAACGATGTACCCTGGGCACCAGAAATTGTGCTACATCCTTTATCTCTAATTCCTACAATGATCAGAAAGAGAAGAAAACTGTGTCTGTATCTTTATCTTACAGATAAATAAATTTGTATTAGACCATGCCAGACTGAACCATGTCAAATTAATATTCTAAATCTGTTTTTATTATATCTGTTTAGGGCCACAGGAGCAATATAAATCACATGTAAACAGCATGAGAGCTTAGCAGAGTGCTATAAAAAATGGAGAGAGATGCCAACTGCCTGAGATCTGGTGTGCTATTTTCATCCTGGGGGTTCTGCAAAAATGTCATGAACCAAAAATGATAAATATGCAATTCCAAAAGCACGTGTGGGAAATACCACTCGGGGCAAAGGTCCTGGGACTCACTTTGTGGAAAGAAGCAGATCTTTGTCAAAACGAATTCTGCTCATCACATCCAGTTAAATGGACTGCTGTGAATGTCAGGTGTCATGGAGGTGGGAAGACTCGCTGTCAAGTGTTGTGGGGTTTTCCCTCTTTCATTGAGAAATGCCAACTCATTTTTTCAGCAAAGTATTTTCTAGAGAATACAATAATCAATCATTTTCTCTGTTATGGGTTGAGTTGGGAAAAAATGGTATATTGAAACCCTAACTTCCAGAACCTCATAATATGACCTTTTTAGGAACTACATTGTTACAGAGGTAATCAAATTAAAATCAGGTCATTAGGGTGGCTGATAATCCAAGATGACTGGTGACCTTATAAAAGGGGGAAATCTAGATGTGGAGACAGACACGCATAGAGAAGATGCTGCAGACACAGGAAGGGTACCACTAACATTAACTGTCAAGAAGTGTTTGTGCAATTTTATACCTAGAAATGTATGGCTAAGAAATATCTAGGACCATTTTTCCCACGGCTCAGCTCACTTTTGATACTCAGCATTGTGGTTCCAGGGCTTCTCTGATGTCATTGCTCTTGCCTTAAATAGGTAAGAACAGCGCTGAAGACCTAGAGTCAGAGAGCTTGTGTCTGAAATTCGATCCTGCTGTGTAGTGGCTGTGTGATCATGCACATGTTTCTGAGCCTCGATTTTCTCATCTGTAAACTGGAGATAATCAATAGTACTTAACTCATGAGGTTGTGCTTAAAGTGCTCAGGATAGTGTCAGACTTGCTTGGTAAGCACTCTTTAAGCCTTTTAAAAACTTTTTATTTTACACTGGAGTATAGCTGATTAACAATATTATAGTTTCAGGTGGACAGGAGAGAGACTCATCCATATACACAAATGCATCCATTCTCCCCCAAACTCCCCTTCCGTCCAGGCTGCCACATAACATTGAGCAGGTTTCCCTGTGCTAGACAGTAGGACTTTGTTGGTTATCCATTTCTAATAGATCAACACTGCTTAAACCTTGATGTTATTTTGCTTTTTCCTCCCTAGCTCCAGTTCTGGGAACCAGGACCCAGGATTGTCAGACCCAAGACCTTACCTTGTTTCCCAATTCCAATCACTGGGTCCATCTGTTGATTTCCATGGCCAGCAGTGAAATATTATTGCTTGCATGTACGCATGCTCCATCACTCAATTATGCCTGACTCTTTGCAACCCCATGGACTGTAGCCTGCCAGGCTCCTCTACCCATGGAATTCTCAAGACAACAATACTGGAGTGGGTACCATTCCCTTCTCCAGGGTATCTTCTCAACCCAGGGATGAAACCAGGTCTCCCACGGTGCAGGCAGATTCTTTACCATTTGAGCCACCAGGGAAGCCCAGCAGACCCTGTCCTAATCACCTCCCTATAACCCCAGTGCTCACTAAGTCTGGAACCACCATTTAACGATGTACCCTGGGCACCAGAAATTGTGCTACATCCTTTATCTCTAATTCCTACAATGATCAGAAAGAGAAGAAAACTGTGTCTGTATCTTTATCTTACAGATAAATAAATTTGTATTAGACCATGCCAGACTGAACCATGTCAAATTAATATTCTAAATCTGTTTTTATTATATCTGTTTAGGGCCACAGGAGGAATATAAATCACATGTAAACAGCATGAGAGCTTAGCAGAGTGCTATAAAAAATGGAGAGAGATGCCAACTGCCTGAGATCTGGTGTGCTATTTTCATCCTGGGGGTTCTGCAAAAATGTCATGAACCAAAAATGATAAATATGCAATTCCAAAAGCACGTGTGGGAAATACCACTCGGGGCAAAGGTCCTGGGACTCACTTTGTGGAAAGAAGCAGATCTTTGTCAAAACGAATTCTGCTCATCACATCCAGTTAAATGGACTGCTGTGAATGTCAGGTGTCATGGAGGTGGGAAGACTCGCTGTCAAGTGTTGTGGGGTTTTCCCTCTTTCATTGAGAAATGCCAACTCATTTTTTCAGCAAAGTATTTTCTAGAGAATACAATAATCAATCATTTTCTCTGTTATGGGTTGAGTTGGGAAAAAATGGTATATTGAAACCCTAACTTCCAGAACCTCATAATATGACCTTTTTAGGAACTACATTGTTACAGAGGTAATCAAGTTAAAATCAGGTCATTAGGGTGGCTGATAATCCAAGATGACTGGTGACCTTATAAAAGGGGGAAATCTAGATGTGGAGACAGACACGCATAGAGAAGATGCTGCAGACACAGGAAGGGTACCACTAACAAGACAAGGGATGCCTGAGGCCACCAGAAGGTAGGAGAAAGACATAGCTCACAGCTCTCGAAGGAACCAACCCCCCTCATCAGGGCTGATTAAAACCAGCACCTTGATTTTGGATTCTAGACTCTGGCACTTTGAAACCATCAACCTCTTTGTTTAAGCCATTCAACTTATAGTACTTTGTTATGGCAACACCAGGAAATACATACATTCGAAAACATTAGCAAGTCTAGTGTTTATCAGCTAAACAGCAATAATAAAGCAACCAGAAGAGCAGCTACTAAGATAAGCATGTAACCAGCATTATCTCATTATCCTCACAGCCAATAAAGAAGCAGTGCTGTTCTCTCCATCTCACAGATGAAGACATGGAGGGCGAAGAGGACTCAAGAATGTACCCAAAGTAACACAGGGAATCAATATCAGGGCTTGGATTCGAAGCCAGCCTCAAAGAGCATGTTAGGGATGATACACAGTGGAAGAAACCAGGAATCCAAGGGGCCAAGTCAAGGTCACACATGGAGTTGCCTGCAGAGCGAGGGCTGACACTGAGCTTCTGATTCCCAGGTTCGAGATTGTTTGCCCATTCTCAACAAACATTCCCCAGGATCCTTGGTGCTCAAGGCAGTGCATTAGGTATGGCACGACTTGATCCCCACTCTCAAGAGGTCTACCTGCCATGAGACAGTCAAACAACACAAAGCACCATGCATCATAAAAATGACAATCCTGATTATCAATAACATTATCTTTCACTTATGGGAGGTTTTGTGGCTTTGACCCAGGTATGGTGCTAAGTTTTGTAGTATCTTCCAACCAGGGCAAGAACCCTATGAAGCAGGGGCTGTTTTTACACTCAGTTTACAATAAATAAGACTGAGGCTGAAGAGGCTGGACAGATGATCATTGTCCCAGGTTGCAGCTCTCTCGGGGGTTTCAGAGAAGGGAGGGATCGCCA